ATACAAATCTCCCTGCATAATTTTTAAAAATTTCGACAAAAAGCAGAAGAGTTATTAAACTTCAAAGAGGGTGAACAAAATCGTGCTCACCACACACACTAATATCCATAAATACAGAAAAAAAAAAAAAACAAATTTTAGCATTTGTTGACGTTTCAAGATCCCCTGAGTCCAAAAATGTAAAAATCTTGAAGAGAAGTTAGTTTTTCACTCGTAGCCATACTTTTCCCGTTATATAGTATATAATATGGGAAGGTATATAATATCTGGGAAAGTATAAGTATTAGTTTTGCTTGTTTTAGACTGTAATTGATTATTGTATATCACTTATGGATCCAGACAGGGAGAAAAACTGAATAAGTTTTGTGCACATGTAAAATTTAAATATTTTGATATGCTTGTAGTTGATGTAATTACTAAAATACAAAGGATTAGGATTAGTTTCTTTCTTCAAGATCTAACAATTTGCTGAAAGCATACTTGGCAGCATATTCAGAATGGATAACGATAATAGATACAAACGAGCCCAAGAAAACTGAACACGTAAGTCACACTACAAAATCTAATTAAATGGATACGTGTAAAAATAATCCTGAAAACATATTAAAAACGGTTATTGCCAGTAAAAAGAAGGCAAAGCATGCCATTATTTAAAATTACTTTTTTTATGTCATCTGCAAGTAGGCCTAAGGAAACACTTCAGTACGTTTCTACAACAGAAATCAGTGTACCCGAAGAAGGAAGCCATTATTGGCAGAAAACCAAGATACATTTACTTCCAAAAATTCCATCAAAATAAAGAACCGGGTCAGCAGAAACAAATGGAAATACAGTCGACGGCAAAATTAAATCGCTACCTCAGATGGCATCACGGAATCAAATTTGACGTAACGCATAACCCAAACAAGATCAATTCCGGAAAGACTTTCTGAAGGAAACTGGCCCCTATTTAGGTGTTAAAAAAGCGGAGAAAACCCGGAAAACTCCACGTGCCAGTCCGTTGGTGAGGAGCGAACCCACGACCACTACCGTACAAATAAAATTATTGTTGTTTGAAGCGTCAAAAGTTCCACGGTGCCGAGTTTTGGCACTAATTTCTTTACGGAAATGTCTCTCGCGTGCCCCGAAATGTCACGTACCAAATTCTTATTTGGATTGCTGAATATCTCTAATTTATAATCATTATATCCAAATTTAGCTCCCACCATTTACGAAGTTGTGGGTGTAAATTTGAATATCTTTCTACATAGCATTGAATAGGGATGCTTTAATTACAATTAGGTAGTATATAAGATTTTTTTTGAAGCCTTCAGAATTAAATAAATACACGGAGTATAGATATCATAATAGATTAAAACAATTAAATTTAATTAGTCAGTTAAGCACAAAATGGAAAATTAAATGTTATGATTAATTTTATCATTTGTATTTAATAATAGATTTACTAGCATAAAATGTAAGACAGAGAAAAATCAAGTTAAAAATCCTCGGACTATTGAAATGAACTATCAGAACGTAACGAAATTTTTATTGAAGTATAAAAATAGATTTTAATATTTGACAATACAGACACAAATTACATCTGTGTACAATACAGAAAACAATACGGAAATTTTTGTGTATTGTTAGTGCATTCTTTTGAGTTAGTGTAAATTCGTCTTTTTGCGTAAAAAATTTAATTTTTACGCAAAAAGACGAATTTTAACAAGCATTGCAATCAAAAAGTGAAATACTGTACATTAAATTTTTGGCACGGAAATTCTTGATAACTTCTAAATAGCGTGTCTAGTTGCATGGATAATGTGGGAGTGTAACGAAGATCAGAATCCATTCTTTCTCTTGGTAGTTCTATAAGCAAAAAAGAGTTAATTAAACTCAAATTTTCCTACAAATAATTTCTTCTCATAAGTGCAAGAAATTTGGATATTCGACGCAATATTAGTTCAGAATAAAATATATTAAAAACGCGAATTTAAAATAAGGATATTCCAGCATTATTCTAAAATTTCGAACACGTGAATATTAGAATATCTAATGGCTAATTAGATTTAACGAAAAATCAAGACATCCTGCTAATTTATGGCCCTTTAAAAGCAGTACATATCTATTAAAGTGCTTCGAGATATCCATTATTTTCCACTACAAGAGAAATTCAAAAATTATATTGCTACAAATATTTTGTCATTAAATTATAAGAAGTACGAACATGATACATGCCAATTCTTTATATCCTTTGTTTTTTTATTTATTTATTTTTTATATTGAGGTTTATTCAAAAAATTATGATATTCTAAGTTTTATTATAAAAAAATTTTAGGTGATTTTAGAGAAGAATATTAAAATTTCTGTAATAATATTTTTATTTTATTTTTAAATTTTCACATATTACACGTGCAAATGTATGAAAATAAATAAGCAAATTCTAGCTATTTTTAGTAACAATACTGTATATTTTTTAAAACTCCTTTCATCTTATGAGCACTAAGAGACCTTTTTTTCTTGTCCGTCGTGGATTAGGTTAAGCTCACAATATGAAGAAAAAATGACGAGGACAATTCCTCGAAATATTTAGAACAAACACCTTACCATTTAGAGTAATTCATTCTTCCACATCTACAATCATATAATAATACAGTACTCGTATATATATGTTTTATAATGTGGAAGTGGATGACTAACTTGTAAGTTAAAAAAAATAAGGAACGAATAAGTTTGAAATCATTCGAAGAAATAAAAAACCTAACAAAGAAATCACGATAAATAATTATCAGATTGATTACAATGTAAATACAGTAGCTAGAATTTGTTTATTTGCCATCTGTTATGAGATTTTGTTATATATTTTTAATTATAAAATAGCGACAGATTTAATTTTGAGGGTGAGATGCGTTTTATATAAAAAAGAAACTGTGTATTCTAACAGATAAAACTTCATTAAGTCCGACCCACTCGAGATATGACACATGATTACTCTCTATTTTTCCATCTGCTCGACCATTCACAACCAAAATTTAATAGCATCAAAGCTCCTCGTACACAAGCTACCATGCCAAATTTCGTTTCTTAATCTTTACTCCATCCAAGTCATGTTATTTCAATTCAAAAATGTTTTCCCGGAAAGAATTAATAGGTACCCGGCACGACTATATTGTTAAAGGGAAAGTATGATGTACGGGGGCAAGATACTGCATTAAAAATTGCAGACCGGCATTGTTGCGATGTTACAATAAATAATTGCTCGTTATGTATACGTAAAAGCCGGAAAAATAAAAGAAAAAAATTTAGAAAAAATAACAGAAAATATTCATAACGACGAAAAGCTTGATCAGGTATGTATGAGTAACTGCGATAATTTATGGAACAAAATGTGATCATTCACAGACAACCTCTTGAATTTTTAGAAATTTAGTTTTATTGTAATGAGAAAAATTGAATTTCATGTAGTGAAGTAATATTAGAAAAAAATTTGTTTACAAATTAAATTATTTCATATTAATTGGTGCTCTGGGAAACCCGGAAACTAGTCAGAGTAGTCGAAAAACCCTAGGAATTTTTTTGGGTGGTCTGTCCCGGATACATTGAACTTCTTCCCTTATTATCCATCCTCCCTCATTGTGGGCCCGGCTGAATCTTTGATTGATTGACTGATTGATTTGATAAAATAGGCACTATCTGTCTTGTGTTGTCCAAGACAACACAAGACAGATAGTGCTGCGTTGCGCAGCAAGGGGTAAATTTCGAGAGCACTTTATATGAGAAATTGGACTTGATTAGGTGTTTCAAACGTGAAGTAAACCGGGAAAACTTTACGTCGATAAGGCGCGAACACGCGATCTACTACTAGTTTATCCACTCGGGCACTGGTGGACAACGAATTTATGATAGGCCCAGAAAAAGTCTTTAGTATCCATAGTGGAAAGAGTTTAAAACAAAAAGAAAAGAAGAAAGGCCAGGCTCATATCAATTTTGCTTTATTGTAAGATTTACAATTTATAGCATTCGTTGTAGAAAAAAATTTTTACATTACCAAAATTTAACATTATTTTCACGCTTCTATTTTAATATAACAATGATTTATCTTCAGTTTTAAAAGCAATTTTGTTTTACGTCTCACGCACTTCGTGTAATATATCGCGTAAAATCCCAATTCCATTCATTATATTGGAACAATTGTTATATTTGTCGTTAGATTATTTATATTAAGACGTTAACACGAATAATCTGACGGACAGATGGCTAAATCTGTAAACCTATAAAAATGCCGGCTTGGTGTCTGAGTTGGTTCGGAAATTTTCATAAATACGTTAACTGGCCATGATGAGTATAGTAAGAGGCATATCTACTGCCCGCAGAGAGGAGAGGAATCTATATATTTTCCTGATATCATTTAAATTTTCATAAGGCAAATAAACGCAAATTATAATAAAAGTTTAATAAGAGCGTGTTTTAATTTCCTTATCGATCGACATCAGAGGTTCTCTTTGTGACAGAAGTTACTCAAGTTACTGAATATTAATGCGTATGTACTGTGCTTTATCCTTAAAACTCGAAATGAAAAGTTTATTGCAAATATTTACATTAAATTCAAGCAATTCCTATAGGGTAATTTTATGAGGCAATTAAAATCTATATATATATATAAAATTGCTTGTCCTGACTGACTCATTCATTCACTCACTGATTCATCATCGCCCAGAGCAAACCGCTGAACCTAAAGAGGTGAAATTTGGTACACGTTTAGGGTACGTCATGAAAACGCACACTAAGAAGGGATTTTTCGAAATTCCCCGCGGGGGGAGAGGGAGAGGATTAAGGCTTAACCGGAAGAACTGCTTCTACTGTACTATTTTAGATGAGATTTTTTGTTTCTGGTGGTAATAACTTAATTTCCAAATGTACGATATTTACGTATTACGTATTTTTAATTAAATGTTCGAACCGTTTTAAATTCGAATTTGTTACTGCATATTTGTTCGATTATAGAATTATTGCAAACGTTCTAGAAAATTGGTCAGATTGAAAACGTTCGATTGAATTAGAAGATTCTCAGTAATAAGGGGTATGTTTAACGCAATAATTTTATACATTTGGATTGTTATAAATTACATAATAAATATGGTTGTTGAAATAATAAATATAAATGGTGTTATGACGCCCCACATCACTCGAAAAATGTTAAACGTTTTAGTAGGGTATGCCATGGCAATGCACACTAAGAAGGGATTTTTCGAAATTCCCCAGCGGGGGGAAAGGAAGAGCATTAAGGCTTAACAGGAAGAATGGCTTTTACTGTACTATTTCACATGCGATTTTTTGTTACGATTAGTCTTCATTAAGTACTTAGGTGTATTAAATTATAACATTTCAGACATTGTTATAAATATTTTTATATATTTCGATTTTTTAACCAAATGTTCGAACCTGCTTAAATTCGAATTTGTTATTGCATATTGGTTCGATTATAGAACGATTGTAAACGTTCCAGAAAATTGATCAAATTGAAAATTGTTTGTTTGATTCTCGGCAATTCTCATCATTCTCGGCGGTAGGTGTTATATAACAATTACTATGGTTGTTGAAATACTGAATATAAATGGGGTTTGTTTGCAAAACCTCCGCGGGCGAAGTCGCGGGTAACAGCTAGTTATAATATAAAATTCAGATCGTCTTCTCTTAGGTATAAAGTAAATGCCAAGCGTAAAATCTTTATTTCAATATTAAAACCATTTTAGAACTGAAATGGTACCAAGATCCAATCCATTTGAATTATGGATTTAAAAATTTTAAATCCATAATTCGAGTGGATCGGATCTCGCTAATGTTCTAAAGATCAATCTATTCTTCCGGCTTGGGCAATAAATTATTCTTTAAATATTGACTTAAAAATTAGTTATATTGTATTAGAAGAACTGTAAAACAGTTCTATTTAAAATTTTTAGTTTTGAGGGGAGAAATCCGGGTCCGTTCCAGACGGGATGTACGGTCGAATTGGATTTAAATCATAATCTAGCTAACTACGTTTTAAATTATTTTATTAACGATAATTTTTAAATTTCGAAAGAAGAGATAATTAATAATAAAAAAATACAATTTACATTTCTGTAATATTAAATAAATATAAGTTTTCTTTTAATTTATAATAATCGCGTTTAAATCCCTCAGATGTCGCTGCGTAGCCAAATAGCCGAAGAAGGGAATTATGGGCTGTGGGGATGAATGTTTTTGGTATACAAAAAGAAAGGAAGTCAGTTTTTTTATAAATCTGAAAAAATGATGAAGTTTACGGAAAGGCTTAACTGACACGAATAATTTTGATGAGAAAATTAAAGCGTTTTTCATTCGAATTTTATTAATATGACATAAACCAAACTGATTTTAGTTATTAAAAACTGAAAAAGTCCCGATGCGAACATCTGTATCTGACGTCCGATGGATTATTTTACTTATAATCGTTGCAGGAATATTTTCAGTTTGTTGCACACAATGATAAAACAATCCAACTACAAAAGTTACTTCTGACAAGGATTTATATATAAATATATATGTATATACATATAAAAGGTAAATATTAATATAAGCAACTTTATAAGTTTCTTATTAAAGCTAATATTTATAATTATTTATTCAAAAAGAATTATTTTTGGATAGATGTAAACAAAGGTGTTTATATAAAATGTTAAGTGTGACATCACCAAATGTGTTTAAATCATTCACAAATCCTAAAATCTCTTAATGAAAAACAAATTGAAATTCAACTACATGCTTCTTAAATTACTAAGGTAACTAAATATAATCTGTATAAGTTTGGAATTCATTAATTATGTTTTACTTAATGTTTTTAGGGTATTCTGTTATTGGCGTGGTGTTACGGCTAGAAATTTTGTTAAATATTCCGTATCTCTCTCGTTCTTGATCTTTCCGAGACCGTGTGGTGCGTTCGTATACTTTTTATTAAACGGAACATTGGGGTCGACGTATTTGAAAATTGATCGATTCCGTGCTTGCCGTTCTCGGGAAACGGCGAAGCAATAAACTAATAAACCGCAACGTATCGAAGAAAATAGAAATGTGGAATTGTCTACGAATATGGCAATTGGAATAAATTTTTGATAAAAAATTTAAAATCATTTTTTTTTTCGTAGAGCATTTGAGGCGTGTTTGTGGAATACCGGTCAAGAACCACAGGTTTATAACTTTATAGATATTAATGAAATGTGTTTATTTTACTTTTGTATAAGTTATAAAGTAGCATTAGTTAAATTTTTATTTTGTCGTCTACGAAGCCTTTAAAATAAACTACGGGAGAATATATTGAGTAAGTTTGTATATAAAATTTTTTTTTTGTTTTAATTGCTTATTTTTGAAAATGAATTTTATCATCTCAATTTATTAAATTTGCAGAGTAATCTGAATGTAATTTATTGATATGTGAATTATGAAATTTGTATTTGTGATTATATATATTATCGTAGTCTGTATGCAAGTTAAAGAAAACTCATTATCTGAAGCACTAATGTGATACCATAGTCAATTGATTATTTCGTTTCCTGATTGCTGGAATTGAATGTAATCAATCTAAGTTCCACTTTCTGTTCAACAATAAATGTTTAACTATCTTTATTCAATATTGACTTTTTGAGATGTCATTGGAATTTAATTAGCTTTTATGAAAAAAAAAATATTATANGAAAAAATATATATATATATATATATATATATGTATTTAATAAATATGTATGGAATCAAGAAATTGTCTAATTACCCATAGAGTACTGACAATTCAAATGTACCGAGTAGCTTTTTTTTTTTTTTAGAGACTTAAAGGCTGAAAACTTTAAATCGTGTTTTCTATGAAAGCTAGGAGAATATATTTACTTAATTTTTTTTCCATTGAGGGGACTAAAGTATTGCTCTATATTTTTATAATCGATATAATCTAGGAATTTAAATCATATTTTGAAAATAATAAACAATGTATTATTTAACATTCCAGACATTTTTTTTTTAAATTTATATTATTAACAGGAAGAGATTAATCTTCATTTAGTATCAGTTTTTATCAGTAGATTTGAAGACTGCTACTTGGTTTCAGATATTTTTAGAGTATTTCTGATTTTCATTTTTCAGTGATATCATTGAAATCTAGTAACAAAAATAAATTATAACAATATTTTTAATCCACTGGTCTAAGGAGTCACAGCATTTATTAGTCCTTATGTTGAAGGTGACAAAATTATTGTTTAGAAAATGAACTTCATATTCCCTTTATTGACAAATATATAAATTTTTAGATTTCTAATTTTATATTATGATTTGTTAGTTAGTTTCATGCTATATTTTGAAAACTTTTATAATGCTACTGCTACTTGACTAATAGTTATTATTTTAATAAAATCTTTTTATTGAATTTTTTAAAGAGATCTTAAAACTAATAACAAATTTAAATCTATAATTAAAGATTATATTAATATACATAATTAAAATAATATAGACTCAGGATAGATTATAGTATTTTGTAGTAAGATATGATTTTGTAATATATGTTAGAATTTACTACATAGTACATGCTAGTATACACTACTTCAACAATTGATGTAAAAAATACGATTTTTATGATTATTGTTATCATATATTTAAAATATTTTTAGATATTTACTTCATTAAGAAGCAAAATTTATGTTGAATTCTAAAACTATAACTATTGAAATGTAAAATCATCATTAGGACTATATTTTATTGAAAAGAGTTTTAACTATAGAATGTATTTATGTATCTACTTTGAATAAGTCAAAATTTAAATCTCGAGATTTGTATAAAAATATCTAAAATAAAAACAACACAAAACAACAAAATAAACTGATAACAAAATTTAAATGATATAAATATACTAACAATGTAATATTTTTTAATGATTACAATAATAAACAAATAATATAAATATAGATCTATATTATTTTATACTATTTAATTATTAACTATTTTTAAATCTTGAAACTTATATGTTGAATCATTTGAAAGTTAGAAATGTTTTCAAATTATTTTTGATGTAGTGATTTAATGTAGATCTTTGATATAATGTGGGATTTGTGAAAACTAAATTTAATATTTTTGGGTCAAACTTTACCTACATGCACTGTCATAGCTGCATAGTGGGGACCCATGTTCTAACCTAACCTAACCTATTCTAATAAATTACAAATAGTTTGGTAATTAGAATAGGTTAGGTTAGGTTAGGTTAGAACGTGGGTCCCCACTGTGCGGGCCATGACAGTGCACGTAGGTAAAGTTTGACCTATTTTTGTATATGTTATGATTCATTTTCAGTCTTTTAATTTAGAATTATGCAGAATCAATTATATTTTCTGTTTGAAAATTTTATTCTATTACAAGAGAGACATATTTTTAATGTTTTGTATATCAAGTTTTATTTATTTATTTAAGCATAATGCATTGTAGAAACTCCTTGATGTCTGCATCAAGTAGTTTCTACAAATGCTTCTAAACATTTCAAATTAATTTTATGACATATTAAATGTGTTAAATAACTATTAAATAATATATATATTTACATTATATCAATATATTCTATTAAATACTGGTAAATCTTAAATTTAACATTCATGAATATCTTAAATTTTTTAAAAAATTCCTTGTTGAACTGAAATTCTGATTTCATGATTAGTAAATTTCTAAAAAAGATATGCATAAAAGTATTTAACGAAAAATTTTAAGCAGCTGTCAACATTTTAGAAAACTCATTACTTTTCTTATTTTGATAAAATATTTTTTTGAAGATTCAAGTGTATAAAACTAAAAATATAGTTTCTTTCAGATTATTTGAGTATCTGAATTGTTTTCTTGCATTGTCATCCAATATACTTTTAATAGTTTTCATTACTTTTGTTCTTTCTTCCAGATTATCATGGCTCTTTAAATATATCACCTAATATAATCTAATAAACAGTATTAGATAATTTCAGTTAAAATGGTTGTTGATATTTTTACACAAAAATATAGAAGAAACTAAGTTCTGTCTTGCAAAACTAAACATCCAATAAATTCACATCTTAAAAATTACTCCAGCATAGTGTCGTTTTTAAAATGTGAATTTATTTATTTTATTAGTTTTTTTTATAGCTATTATTAGAAACTTTATGAATAATTTTCTTGAGAAATTTTCTGTTGGTTGCAGAGTATTCATACTCACTTAAATAATTATGCAAATGCTATAAGCTAATGCTACTTTCAGTTTGTTTGTCAGTATTGAAAAATTTTTTTATATAGATTATTATTAAGAATTTGTTATTGAAGAGGAGACAAACATTCAAACATTTGAAGTATTTAACATAATCAGATTTTTATGGATAATAAAAACTATTTTTGTTCTCTTTCCATTAGTTTTATCTCTTTTCTATAAAAAAATTAATAGGAAACATCATCTACAGATGTCTTTGATTGTTATCTAAATACATAATTAACTGATATGCATTAACATTTTACTTCATAACAAAACTGAATATTTACAACAGTTATATTTATTAAAATATAATTTGTTTTATCACGTAATTTTAAAATTTTTGATTGTTTTAATTTTTCAAGGTTTTAGTTGTAATGTTTATTTTGTGCTATGCTTGTCAATCATTTCTATTTTAGATTAACAAATACTAAAAGCATAGTAACTTTAAAGCTGGAAAATTACATTATTATATTTAAAATTATTAAATAAATAATATTTTGACTTAGCTAATCATTCATTTTTATTAATTATGCATTTCAAATTGGTTTATATTTCATAATAATAGTTTTCTAAAAGTGAATTATTAAATATAAGAAATTTTTCTTGAAATTTATTACTTGACCTAGATTTGCATATCTAATCTGTCTGTTTATTTCCAAGCAGTCAGATGGAAGGCTATTATAAATTAAAATCTGTCATTTAAATATATTAGAATTGTATCATTTTTCGGTTTTATTCATAAAATAAATCATGATAATTGTAACAGTTCAATCAGCTATTGATTTTGTTGGTAAATTTTAGTTTAAATCTATAAAAATTTATAGTTAACAAATAATATCTAAATAACTATTCTTCCAACATAAGAAAATTCTCTCAAAACCTGTTTTAAGTAAGAATTAGAAAGAAAAATATTATGTAAAGAAAGAAAAACAATGATGCCTCTAAGCATTGATTTGGTGAAATGCTTTTTTTAAAAGTAAATTTTTTATTATTATTATGTGCTTAAGTACATTTCTTAAAGGAACTATCTATTTGATGAGTTGAAGAAAATCTTTATTATTATTAATTCAAATAAAAAACAAAATGTTTTAAGATTAAAAGGCTATTTTTAAGACCTATAATTCTAAAATTTCAACACTTTTTTTTAAAAAAAGAATGATTGTCACTTGAATTCAATATGAAATTTCAAATCCTCTTATTGTGTTAACTGCATTTAACATTGAATACAAAAGATTCTAAATAATCTAATTACAAGTTATAATGTATAAAGAAAATAGATATAAATTAGGAAGAAACAAAATTATTTAAATACTAAGACAAAAAGTGATAATTTAATAGTAAGGAAGTTCCAAGCTAGATCTGTAGAGAAGGGACATTTATGATACCTGGTAAATTTAGGTTTTGCTGGTTCTCTATTATTCCAATGGAAATAGCTAATCACCTAACACTCTGGATTGAGGAAAAAAATAGATTAGGGCAATAACTTTTATTGTAGTAATTAAAAAGTAGTTGACTTGCTTTTTTTAAGTATATAATACTTTAATGTTATTTTTGACACTTTTGAAGTAGTTTAATTTTACTCTCAGAATATTCAAAATTCAAAATCTCTCTAATTTTGTGTGTTTTGTGTCATTGGTACAGTTTATTTATTTAAATAATTTACTTTTCGTTTTTAATGTTAACAATTTTTTGTTTTTTCCCTATAATAAAAATTATTATATGTGATATAAAAGTAATCAATCTGTAATTAAAAAGTTGCTTCTGTCTATTTTAACTCTAATGATCTGAATTAATTAATTATTTTAAAATTAATTTTAAAAAAGACTTTAAAAAGTTGAACTGGTATGAAATTTGAACTAGCAGCTTATAAAATCACTTCTTAGTGCAATTAATATTTTGCTAAAATCATTTTGAGTATGTTTATAATTTCTATAATTAATTAATTGCATCTGTATTTAGTCATGTTTGAATTCTAAAGTTTTAATTTTGAAATTTGAATAATATCTAACATTAAGTTTTTCATATTTTATAAGCTTTGTTTAAAATAATTCAAAGTGAAAATACTAATTTTCTTTTGTAGACTACTAACTGTTCCTGTATTGTCCAAAGAGTAGTTGAATTTACTGAAGTCATTTGAAGAAAGTCCTCTAACTGCAGCACATAATGTTTGGGTAAAATCAATATTTTAAAGATTATTCTTCCCTATATTTAGCTGTTTTCAGAATTTGGTTCTTCAGATGATTTATTTTTTTTAAATCTATTGTAAAAAAGGTTTGATGTAAAGAATTTTAGATACTTATTGGTTAGCAGGGCACCAGTCAATTGATGCAATCTAACTCTAATTTAACCTACCCATTTGGGAAATCCTCTCTGAACCAATTATCAACCGAATACACATGAGTTAGATCTCATCAATTGACTGGTGCAATGCTAACCAGAAAGTACTGAATTTTAGAACAGTGTTCTGGTTTTTAATATACTTTAGTTAATAATGTAAAAAATGTTTTAATTTTTAGATTGTAATTTTCTATTATTTTATGTAGATGCAATAGGAACTAAGCTCATAAAACAGCATTATTTTTCGTTTGAAAATCTAAACACTGTTATTACTTTAAGGTAATTTGAGATAGGTACATTGAAATTATTTTTGTGGAATAAAAATATTATTTTTTGACTGGAGTTTTTATATATTTGTGTAGAACTATAAATTTATCTTATATTCAATTAAATTTTAGTATAATTGTTTAAATCATTTGTATTGATATTTACGACCTGTTTTTTTTTTCACATGAGTTTGTAATAATTTATTATTAAACAATGATTATATTTCTGTTACAATCAGTTTATAAGTATCCAATAGATCTGAAATAATAAAAAATTTAATATTATAAGACATTAATGCTTATGAACTTTTGATTTATATTTAAACTGCTTATGTTACCATGATATGGCATAGTAATTGCATTGATATAATATGATATAAATTATTCTGTTAATTTTTAAGTTAATATAGATACATCAATATATAAATTGGAAATACTTAATAAAAGTATTGAATTAATATCTTTTAAATCTGAAAAACAAAATTTTTATCTTTACTGTAAATTAGGTTGAGAAGAAAAATTTGATTAAGAATAAAACCCTGAGATTGCCAATTGTGATTGTAAGAAAATCAAGAAAAGTTTTCAGAATAATTCTCTCTATTGTTTTTAAAGAAAATTTAATTAAATATTTACTGTGTAATTGCAAATCAAAATATTAGGAAATATAAACAATGAATTATTCAAAATTTCTTGTGTGTGTGTTTGCATAAAAATTAAGGAAGATATTACACACTAAATAATAATCAAATATTAGCTATTATATAAAGCAAAATATGTTAAACTTTTTTTAGCCAAATTCCAGGAGATTCCAGCTAGTCTGGGATAGTAGACAACCCTAGTTTCAAGTGTATTGAAAATGTTGGCAAATCAAATATTTTTGAATTTGAACTTCTTTTACTTATTTTTCAATTATTTATTTTTCAATTATTCAATTATTTTTCAACCGCTGAAAGATAGACTTTAATGAATTGTGTTATTAAATTAAATAAAAAATGCATTTAATTAGAAAATATTGCTAAGGTAGCTCTCAGAAGATAAATTTTTTTAAAGATAAGAGAAAGACATACTACAGTCAGTTACTATTAGTAAATTAAATAACCCAGATAATTATTGATTCATAATAAAACTGTAGCTTCAAATTTTCATAATTACTTTTACTTAAGATTATTTAACATCAGAAAGAAGTTTACAATAAATATAACAAGAAATAATATAGTATTCTTTTAAGGCTAAGTTATAAAATAATGTTAAATTATTTTGCATAATATTTGACAAACTTAGTAAAAAGTTTATAAAATTTATTTTGAAGCTATATAAATTCTCTTGAAGTTTATGAACAATTCAGTTTATAAACAAAATTTTGAATGCCATATTTTCTCTGGTTGCCATACATAAAGATTTGATGTAAAGAATTTTAGGTACTTATTGGTTAGCAGGGCACCAGTCAATTGATGCAATCTAACTCTAATTTAACCTACCCATTTGGGAAATCCTCTCTGAACCAATTATCGACCGAATATAAGATAAATTTATAGTTCTACACAAATATATAAAAACTCCAGTCAAAAAATAATATTTTTATTCCACAAAAATAATTTCAATGTACCTATCTCAAATTACCTTAAAGTAATAACAGTATTTAGATTTTCAAACGAAAAATAATGCTGTTTTATAAGCTTAGTTCCTATTGCATCTATATAAATAACTCTGTTTCCAAACAAGCTACTCGGCAGAGCCGGCCAGTGATGGTCAGTTTCCTATGTTAAAGAAAAGTCGGTGGCCTGACCAATCAACAGAGGGAATACCAATTCAGAAGTTAGTGGCACTGAGATTGCTTCATGTCACAATATGGATCATCAGTGATGTTGCTATTTAAAGTACATTTTAATGCACATGCAGGAAAGATAATATTTCCATTTTTCGATACGTGCCACAGTTGAATTTAAATCAAATTAATTAATAAAAACCACATTAATTGACATTCATGTAATATAAATGGGATTTAAGAATTTGATTAGATTTGGTTATATTTCATGCACCCAGTCAGAATTGAGTCTTTGTTTATAGCACTTTTTTGTAAAGTGTTGGTTTCCATTTTGGTTGGTGGTGACAAAACATATTGCTTTTAATATATATATATATAGAACAGATGTAGATATAGATAATGTAGGCATTTTTATGCATGAAATACAGCTAAAAAAGGTAAAGTTTTGTTTTGGGGATCAGGAACAGATTAATCCATTTTTCATTGTTTCTTGTGGAAAAATTTTTTTTTCGGTTTGAGAACAAATCTGTTTCTGAACAATCTTTAGGAATGAATTAAGATTGTAAACTGAGGTTTGGCTGTAATTAGAGTTTTAGGATACATTTGTGATATATGAATTTTATTTCAGAAATTTAAATGTATTTTGTGTGTATCTTGGAAATTATTTTGATTTTATTAAAAAGTAAAATATTTTAAAAATAAAAGTAGATGGAAAGAAATTTAAAAGACAACATTTAGTTCTTTTACATTTTTTAATGTTATATCATTAACCAAATACTAATTTATTGAAAGTTAGCTGAGAATTGGTCAATAATATTAATTAGTGCATCTCAAATTAAGAGTGTATATACATATATTGTCAGTGATGGATTTCCCATTAGGTTCACAACTGTTTTGGAGGTGTAAAGATTTTAAATAATAATAACAGTAAATAATGAAAAAATAATTTTATGTAGAAACAATTCATAAAGGAATTAGTGCAAATTAATAGCTTAAGTAGAGACAAAATAAGACAAGATCAGTTGTGTAATACATTAGACTCTCAAAAACTCGGCCTAATGTGGACCGAAGAGTGGCCGAGTTTGTGAAAATGCCAGGTTATTGGGAATGGGGTTAAAAAAATAAGTATGAGTGTTTCCTCAGAAAATACTGTACTGTACTTGTATGTATTGTTTACTTGAGAATACAACAGAGAATAAACTGCCCAAATACCCTTAAACAAAGGAAAAGTACGTCTTCTATGAAGGCATAGAGCCTTTACTACATGAAAATGAAAATTAATGAATACACTGTGTATAGTAATTTACCTGATAAGACAGACCTCAGAAAAATACTTTATGAGGCATAAAGCTGTTTTTATCATGAAAATTAATTAACTAAGGATTTTTTTTGCCCTGCCAGGGTGTGGCCGAGTTATCCGGAGTGCCGGGTTATCGAGTGCTGAGTTTTCGAGGCTCTACTGTATTAATATATGAATGCATTTTGCATGAAAAAAGTGGTGGTACTAATGATGAGTTTTCAATAGCAGTGTTCTTTTCCCTTTTCATATTTAAAAATGTGTAAAATTACAATTATTGCAGAATTTAAATTATAAGTAAACTCATTTGGTGTAAAAGTGACACGTTTAATTTGGGCAGTGAATATTGTCAGTTACTTCAATAATTTTATACCTTTTAAAATAATTATCGGAAATGAAAGCTAATAATTATGGATATTGTTACAATAAGAAAAATACCTGAAATTAAGAGTTTTTCTAAGTGGATTTTCTCAGATTACTATGAGGATGGGAAAATACAGAATTGATAAACTGAAAGAAAATAACAGTAAAATTTTTTAATTGACAAATAATTAATAAATATAATAGCCAGGACAATGATAAAATATAAAAATAGTCACAAATTAGAAGAAACAATAAATGTTTTCATATTCTTGTCCTTTTTCAATGTCTCAGGAACACAATAGTCTTTATGGTAGAGTCAACTTTTATTTGTTGTGTTCTTGACGTGTTGAAAAAGGACAAGAATATGAAGACATTTATTGTTTCTTTTAATTTTTGAATAAAATTATATTACAGAAATTTAAATTACATATTAAATTTTACATTATTTTTAATGTGCAATTAGAAGAAAGATATTTGAGTTATAAAAAATAAACAGTAATTAATTTTGTACCAACTTACAATAAAAGATGTTTTTATAAAATATTAAATAACTTCTTTGCTGTATCTTTTTCGCTATCAGACAAAGTTGTTTCATATAATTATTTGCTAAAATTGAAAAATGTTTGAAAGGATATTGATTTTCTAGTACTAGTAATGTCAATAATATGAATTATGAGGTGATGATAATGCTTTTCAAAGCATTCATTACTAACTATTCGTTGTTATTTCTTCAGTTCTACTAATTTTTTTATAGTTTTTAACAGCAAAAATTTATATTTTTACAATAATTTGAAGACCCTCTTATAATAATAATAATAATAATAACAAATATATATCCAGCAAAAATTTTTAATAGGACAAATGTTTTTGGCCTCTTTAGGGGCTTGCATCAGATGTTTTAACTGTTCTAAAATCAAATGTTCTATAGCATATTCAAAAGTGAAACATTCAATTTTAGAATAGTTGGAAAACTTGACACAGGTTCCTTAGAAGTCAAAAACGTTTGTCCTATAAAAATTTTTATTTTTAATACACAAACATAGGCTTAGAGCTAGATTTATGTATAAATTAAGTAAGCTAAAGCTTAGGGCATTGCATTACAGGGGATGTCATTCTGTTTTCAAAGACAGTTTGTACATGTTG